TCAGACCAGATGATCATAATGGTCCTTTCTGACCCTAAAGTCTATGAGTCTAAATATAACATAAAATTTTATTCTTTTCCATATGACTTTTCTCCATAAATTCTCATTCTCTCTCTCTCTCTCGCTCATGTTTGGTTTACTTATGACTCAGATTCCCACGTTAGACACCCAAGCCAATGGAAATGTTGCCTCCTCATTGTCCTTTTATGTCACTCCATTAACTTTGATGATGCACTCCTACACAACATGAGGGAGGAGATTTTCAAAGGCACTAATGGGAATTAGATGCTCAACTTCCTTAAAAACCCTTATTATAGAGAATACCAGTGTTTACATTATTTTTGTACAATTTCCAGTGGTGAAATCATTCTCTAATAACTGTATGTATCTCCTGATTTCTGGAAGGGGGAAAAAAGAGTGGTTTCTAAAGACAGTGGTTCAGAAATGGCTGCCTCAGGTATTTGACACATACCAAATTTAAAACAGTCTTTGATAGCAATAGCTTAAATCATCATTTGTTCACTTTGGGTGGGATTTTCAAAAGTGCCTAGCTGTTCCCTTCAACATTACTGGGAGTTTTGCCAAAAGGAGCAGATTGAGGCCAATACTGAGCGCTTTTGAAAAATCCTTCTCGTTATCTCTAGAACGAGAGAGCATTAACTCAGATACAGTACACCTGTACATATGTTATTATCAAATTAATTCTGTTTTTCGATGCAAGTATCTATCATGAGACTTAATAAAAGGGAAAATATTTATTGTTTTGGCTTTACCCTTCAGTTAACAAATTAATGTAGATGGAACATTGCTGCTGTGATATATTGGTGTTCTTTAGAAACTTGCAAATGGCTGCTCTCAATGTATGTTCTGAAAATCAGAAGGCATAATGCTATTTAATGCCACAGGCTTACATGATGTCAGGTGTTTCATGATATTACTCATTACATGACTCATCACATTTGCTAATATTACAAGTGGGAATGAGTGAGCTGGCTCAGATAAACCAACAAGTGATCCAAAAGGAATATGAACCAAACTTCAGAGATTCAAAAGAGTCGGTTCGCTTTTCATTTGTATGCACCTTTCCACTTTGTGGTTTGGGTCAAAACCAGAGGTAGAAGGACTGGAAGACTGTGAAAGGCTATTTCTGTGGATACTTTTGAGTAAAGTGGAACTGGGAAGCAATTTAAAAATGTTGCCATAAACCTGCAAACCTGGAAACGTTCATCTAAACTAAAATGAACCTCCAAAACTTTTGAAATTTGTGCCTCACTAGTTATAATATGCAGGATGGGTTGAATTTTCAAAAACTGAGCACCCAAAGTGGAATCCACAAATTATACAGGAGCATTCAGGTAACTGCATGAAAATATTCCTGTGTGCACGCTAAATGGAAAACTGCACCCACAAATACCAATTTTGCATGTACATGTGAGCCCTTATACCTCACCACAAGTGCTCATGCTTTGAGACACTGGCTACAGTGTCAATAATTTAATTACTGACATTTATGAAATGATTTGCCTGATGCTATATGTAATAACAGGAAAGCTCTGAACTTTAGCTGAAATATATGACACTAGAGACACTAGGTAAAGCGTTCTAGTGAGAAATGGTAAAAGTGGTCCCCCAAAGTTGAGTTTTAGAATTCCTGGGAATGTCATGCAGCTAAACCCTAGTTTACAGATCTGAAGCATTACTTACAGTTCTCGTCCATTTCCTGACATTTTAAATCCTCCAAAAGGACACTGAGCAGATGCTGCACCATAGCAGTTAACCCTGAAAAAGAAAGATGACTTTACACATCATGGGCCAGATTCTCAGCTGGTGAACATCAGTATAGTGCCTTTGGTTTCAGTAGAGCTATGGTGATTTCCACCAGCTGAAGATCTTAAATATACTTACCAGGTATGTCGTTCATAATTCAGTGAAACAGTAATACTTGCATTTGCAGTAGTAGATATTGGATTTGTACTACAAATTTAGGGTCTTCAAGGGATAATGATGATTTTGTATTTGTAACTGACAACTATAACAAATCTTCCCCCTATTGAAAATCTGTGAAGTTCTGGCACCATTTTTCAGAGCCCAAGGAACAGTCAGTGTCTTTCAGGTTTGTTCTCAGAAACAAAATCTAGGGTCATTTCACTATTCACTCAGGATATTCTGTTGGATTCTGCATGACAGTTCCACTACACTATATTATTTGCTGTTGAGGACAAGAAACCTCAGTAGAAGTGTAATTACCTATGGCAAATATTGTTAATAGGGCTGGAAACTAGCAGAATTAATAGTGTGGGCAGAGGGAGCCTTCTACTGGTTCAATTGATTAATTGACTCAGTCCTCCAGAATTTTCAACTGAGGGATTCTTCATTTCTACATCTTCTAATTCCCTTCTCTTTCACTGCCAGGTCCCACTGACTTCAACATTGGCAAGTGAGGATTAGGAAGAAAACAGAGATTTCCATGGAGAACAACATTTATTTGAGACAAGAAAATATTTTTATTTAAATTAGTCTCTTTAAATGTTTTTGGTTATTGACTACTGGGATGTGCCACACTGTCTCTCTCGCTAAAGGGTTTATACAATTTTAAATAACCTAAAGAAAAATACTTACTCTTGAATCAAAACCCTAAAATTACTTTTGTAAGAAGGTGCATTTGTTTGGTTTACCAGTAACCATACATTATTCACAAAAGAATACAAATCTTAGTGGACAGGGGACTGGTGCTAATTGTGTGGTGTTTAAGATCTAACACAAAATAAGGCCAAGCTTTGGGTCCTTGAAAAATCTGTCTACCCCTTTCACTACCATGTGCCACTTTACTGGTGCACCAGGGCAACTCTCAATGGGGAGAACTGCATTAATTATTTGAGTCTTTCTCTCCATTCAGCTCATCCCCAGGGTGCCACTCCACCAAGGTTGATGTCTGAAGCATTTTAAGAGAATGGGCTTTTTAAGGTAACGTGGGAAACTGAGTTTTATGAACTGAGTTTGACATGCATCTGATGAAGTGGGTATTCACCCATGAAAGCTTATGCTCCAATACATCTATTAGTCTTAAAGGTGCCACAGGACTCTCGGTTAAGTTCATATTGTGCTACCACAGTATTGTGTATGAAGAGTCCATCAAGTCACCTGGACTTTCTAACGGGCAGATTCATGAGAAATACTACATAATAACAAATGAGGTATTGGAGGGCAAGGGGATGGAATCTGCCTCCCTAGAGTTCAGAAAGGTTTAGAAGAAAAACATATATAGTAAGTCACGCAATAAAGTGTTGTTGAAATGGCCTACTATTTCAGCATAGGCTACTTTATAAATATTATCAATGAGGGATAATTAAATCATTGTTACATACCATACTGTTCCAGCCTGAAGAGCAGTTGCAAATGTCAATGCTTTATCAAGGTCTTTGGTAAAAACTGCTGCTGCTAATCCATACTGAGTATTGTTTGCCCTCTTGATCACTTCATCTACAGTTTTAAACTTCATGATTTGCTGCACTGGCCCAAAAATCTATTTCACATCCGGAAAAAAAAAGTTAAAATCTGTGAAAACTTCAGCATGGTTTACTGTTTGAAATAATTTATTTCAAAAGTATTTATTTCTGTCAGATGAGTCTTATTCCTATGTTATTAGTCAAATCAAGAAAATAGACTTTAGGGCATGATAACTAAATGTTCAGTACTATCCTAAGTGCAAGTGAAGTTAGAATAATATGGAGTCTACAATTAATTAAAGTAAGATGATTGTAAACATGAAAATAATTAAAGAGAAACAGAAGATCATCTAACATGAAGTTACAGAATGTTACCAGATCTGTTCAGTGTTCCAGTGAACTCTTAAATTACTTATTTTTTTGTCAACTCCATTTTTAAAATTGAAAAAGACATTCAGCTTTTCCTCTCATAAACCTTTTATTAGCATTTTATCTCCACAAGTGCCTGCACAACTAAACAAGGAAGCCAACTAAAATAACTAATTCTACTCTCCTTCTGGGTGTTAACTATTATACAGGAAAATATTCCATTAGACTCAGCTCTTCTTCTGTTATTGGGCAATTAATTCAGCTCTGTATTCTCAGCCAGAAATTGCAATGCTGCACTAGTTAGTACTTCTGTAACTAGGGATAGGAGACTAGTACTACATAGGCTCAGTCTTGCTCCCACTGAAATGAATGGGAGATTTGTGCATGACTTTACTAGCAGCAGCATCTAGTCCTAATTTTGCAAGTAAGGGTATATGAATTGGTTTGGATAAAAGAAGCAGCCACCTGAACATCCCCTCCCCCCCGCCTCCCAATTAAAATTGAAAGTCAACCTCTGAGGTTCAAAATTGTAAATTAAACTTGAACATTTTTAAATTGTCTCTGCCCATCCTGGTTTCGTCTAGATCAGTGCAGATAACAGAGAGGCTATTCTTGTGGGAGTGATGTTCTAACGGAAACCAGTAAATCTGGTGAGGAAGTATATTTCTGTGAGATTTCCCACCTGACTTCTAGACAACAAACAAACAAACGTTCCAAAACAGCTTTCAAATCTATTTGACTGAGAGGTTATTTTAAACCACTCTCCTGTTGCGCCTGGCCCCTCAGCATTCATTCTAGAGGCACCAGGGCTTTTTTATTCTCTTTAAGTTAATCTGTTGACAGCCAAATTGTGAACCCATGGGGGTGCAGCTACTCAACAGAATAGTTCCACTGAAGTCAATGGGACTACTGCAGCAAATAGCTTCTCATCAAAGGGTTCACAAGCTGTCCCTGAAAGATTTGTTTTCTCTGTTATGTGTTACCTTAGCTCTGGCAGTATAGGGTGATGTAACTAACAATTCCAACCACTGTACCTGTTGTCTCATATAGACTCTAACTGGAACCTTTTTTAGCCAGGCAGATTATTCTCCTTTTCCAGCACATTTCATTGAGTTGACTAAGCGAATGTAAGTAACTAAGAAAGAGATACTAAATGGAACCAACCTAAAATGAAAGATTTATTGTGAAAAATTTTATCTACTAAATTGACCTTTTAAATGGATATTTTGTACAGACATTTAAGCAGAGAACTGCGTGTGAAAGTACAGACTGTCATGAATTTATTTACCTCTTCTTTGGCGATGCGCATATCATCTGTAACATTAGAGAAAACCGTGGGCTGGATGAAGTAACCTTTGTCTCCCCATGGACGTCCTCCACATTCCAGTTTGGCTCCTTCTTTTTTCCCACTCTCAATTAGGTCGAGGATTTTATGAAACTGCTCCTCATTAATCTAAATGAAAATATATTGCAGGAGGGATAAAAGTAGCATGTACTGATAGCAATCCCTTCCCAACCCATTAATCGCTCCTTAACAATGCTGTAGCTTCATTAAACCTTACATGTTGAAATGAAACAGCTGGCATGCCCCATAAATTTTTTCGTCTTTAACTTCTCAAAACTTTACAGGCTTTTCCCACTGGTATATGTGTGGAGTACTTAACATGATGAACAAATTCAGCATTCTTAGAAATGTATCCAGAACATATACCGGTATATCAGTAATTAGAAATATAAGCACAGTACAAAGGGTTAAATGTTCTAAACGAGCTGATATTCTAATTGCATAAAAAATAAAGATTCTCCTTTATAAAATACATTAATTGCAGACTTCTGTCTGTACTCTGAAATCTGTGGGATTACTATTGGCCCATGCAAGTTGGCATCACTGAGACTGATCCTGCAATCCTAATATAGGGCCCGATCTAGCACCTACTGACGTCAGTGAGATTGTTTGGGATCAAGTATACCGGCAAGCCTTCCCAAGAACTGCTGGATTGGTCACACTCTTCTACTAACACTAGTAGAGGGAGAAAACACAGCAGAATTTGAATTCAGTACTATTTAATTTTGTTCTATGACTGGAAGTTGCTGGAATACAGAATAACTGTTGGCATTGAGCTTGAATGGCAGTTTGTTTATCGTGTTACACCAAAAACAAATGCAAGCAACGCCAAGCATATATCAACTTGGCAGGTCCATCCGAGCAAGATGTGGAAGGAACAGGCATTTACAATGGGAATGCAACTGAGACAAGCCATTCCCAACAAAATGGCAAAGTTGATAACAGAAAATAGAGTTGGACCATGTTAGAAAGTTATTATTGTGGCAGCAAAATAAACACTCTATTGTACAAAATTTCCCTACAGAAAGGAATGGACAAGTAACTCTGTATATGTTTCAAAATATAAAACCAACAACACAACCTGTTTCTTATAGGTTGAGAACCTTCCTATCTTGTCCATTTTCTTTGTGATTTTTTTTCTGCGTGTTTTTGGGGTTCAGCCCTACAAACACCCAGTCATGAAGACAATGAAAGACTACTCCCATGAGTATGGTTACCCCTATCCATTAGTGTAGATAGGGTCCTTACTCTGGACAGCACAACACTCAAAGTGAAATCCTGGTCCCAATGAAGTTAGTGGCAAAACTCCCATTGATTAATTTCAGTTAGGCACACTATGTTTACTTTTGCCCAGCATTTATCAGCATTCTTATTGCGCAGTTTTGCCCATTATTATATCATTTTGCTGAGGGGGGGAAGGGAGTTCTATCTTCTTGCTTAAGATGATATGTACAGTACTTTAGAGAGCTGAGGTGACAACTAAACTCTTGCTACAGAATTTGACTTCAAGCCAAATCTCACTGTAATACTCACATGATTTGTCCAGTTCTTAAAATTGTCAACTGCTAAAACCATTGTTTACAGTTATCAGGGTTGTGTTTTGAAACCTTACTGGTAGAGTTTCTAAGTAAACGCTTACTTAGTTTAGTAATAAGTAAACTCTTTGGCTAATAAAGTATACACAGAAAAGTTTATCTGGGAAGCAGTTTTTCTTCTTTTTCATTCTTTGTGGTCTGATATCATAATTCACCATGGATGTTTTGCACCTCATCCCTTTTCCACACAGTAGAGAAGGGGACCGGAGAGTTGATTAAGCAAACAGAAGGACAAGGCGGGAGGCCAAACACTTCAGCTTAATCAGCTCTAGTATTATCACATTCATTCCCATAAAACAGTATTTTTAAAAGGCTTTGGAGAACCCTGGGTCATTTCAGTCTATTTTGTAAGGTTCCAACCTACCCAATGGTTCAATAAAAGCTATGAGAAAAGCTTGAAAATATTTAAGAGGATTGAAGTCTAACTGTTTTCCTACCTTGGCCACCCACTATACTTTTAAGAAACTGCCTTATTGTACCCAATAGATATACAAGGTTACTGTTATCCTCATAGGCAAAATATCTTTGATATGTGCAACATCATGAAGAATAGAAAATATTGAATTGAAATAGCTGGCAGTTGTGTCCACTTTCCAAATTAACTCTTTGGGGACTTCAGTTATAATGTAAACTAGATTGTAAGCTGTTCAGGAAAGACTCTGTTTCATACTATTTGTTTGGACAGCACCCAGCACAATGGAGCCTTAATCTAATAGAGGCCTCTGGGCCCTATTGTAATACCCAAATAATAATAAGTGATGATAATGTGTGAGTCAATGTGCATGTACATATGAATGAATATATGATGATATAGTGTGCTCCCATGAGTACCACTGTGCAGTACCTCCCAAAATAACATCAAGTGTCATAACATTGACAATAGAAATGAAAGTGTCATGACCAGGCCCTTCCAGTATAAGAGACAGATTTCACAGAGAAGCTGGGAAGCTTCGCTTCCCTATGGAATAAAGCTCTCATTCTTAGCCTTACATGGTTGTTTGATAACACTCTTGGAAATGATTAGACTTTTGCATATAGAATCTCAGATAGCAATCTTGCCAATCCTGGGTATTGGGCTAAAGAGGGAACATTTCTCTAGCAGGTCAATTAAAAAAACTAAAATAAAATGAACCTGTGTCTCCTACATGTTAGAGTTTAGCTGGAGACACCGATTGTCTACATTCTGATTGGGTCCTTTTAATGACATCACATCTGCACACAAATCTCCAGTGGAACCAAGATTTTCCAAACTGGGTCCCTCAGACACCAAAATAAGTGGCCTATATGGGAGCTGCTGGGTGCTCTGAACTTTTCAAAGTTAGACCTCTTAGGGTACCTAAAAATGGACTTACAAATTTTAAGCACGCACTTTGCAAAATCTTGGTCCTGGTACCTCAATAATGTAAAGAACAAAACACACACATCCCATGCTCATTATATTTAATGGATATGGGGGAGGAGAAACAAGAAAAATAAAAGCAGCATGAGAGGATGAAGAGAGGCAGCTAGAGTAGAAGGGAAATGGGCAGAACTAAAAGTAAGAGTTTTAAGCTACCTCCTCCCCCAAAGTGCACAGCTACTCTTTCAACTCCAGGGTCTGGCCCACCCGTCACTTTTAACTCACTTTCCAGTACAAAAAATATCAATATTTCAATTGGAGCTCTTGGTGAGGTGAAAGAAGCGGCTGCATCACAAACTGCTGCTGCCTTTTGGACTGAGAAGAGGTCGAAAATAGGGACTTACAGAAAAAAGGGAAGGGTTTGAAATAATTACTAAACAATACTGTAGTTACTGTCCTGAATGTGTGTAACTGTTGTTCACCATGTCCAGCTGAATCCAGTCCATCATCCCTTTTTCAATTCAGTTTTGAAAAACAGTGTAAGCAATAGTATAGTATAGTGATTCTGGGGATAAAAGTTCTGCTGGCCTGGGAGGAAGATAAGGGGTGCTGGTGAGCTGAGAATGAAAATGAGGGCAAGAAAGGGACATGGTGGGAGTGGGAAGAAAAGGTTTTTTTATTTTCCTTTTAAACCTCTTCAGAAATGTACCTTTCAGCAGTTTGACCAGTCCTTTTGATTGTGGTAGGTTTGTTTTCCTCTTTCATATCAAGCAGGAGTACTTAATTTTAAACTCAGTACAGCAACAATAACATGAGGGTGGCTTCATGTTAGCTTAGTATTAGTCACACACTAGACTAAGAAACACACACACACCTTAATTCTCTGAAGTTCAGTGTTATGAACACCACATTCCTTGGTGTTTATTCAACCCAGGATATGGTTGTTACTTCACTAACAGGATACACCTTTCAAACTCCCCAGCTAGGATGGTTTTGGATGTATTTTTCCATTTTTTGTGATGTCTTTGATTATTCCAAGTGTCAGTACAGTTGCCAGGAAGAGGAACATTTTATAACCATTAATTTTGGGGAGTTTTCTTTGCTCAGCTCTAGTTTTATCATCTCTAAGAAGATACTTTTATTCTATAAGGAGCAGGTACACAGTGAGTAAAAAAAGTATATTTACAGTACATACCCTACAGTGCCTGCTCCCATTTTAGTCAGACTTTAGACAAGGAACAATCTAACAGCTCTATAAAGTAACCTAAAAAGAATCCTTATCAGTTGCATGATGTTATATTTTAAAATATGCTTAATTGGTTATTTATGTAACAGGCTAAGGTTCTGCAGAGCAAAATGGGTCACCACCAAATTGTGATACAATGTGTTTAAAATTTGCAATAGTTTGGGGAGCAGAACTGGAAGCACAAGAGCCTTGGAGGAGTGGGGAAAATATCAGTAACTGACTTCTGCACAGCTGTTCACTTATAATACAGTGGTAATACTTAAATATATTATTGTTAGAGGTCTCTGATTAGTATAGACGGGTAATAATAATTTGAACTTCTACAATGGCCTTCATCTGAGTTTTCTCAAAGCACTTTATGGGGTGGGTAGGTATTATAGTATTATCCCTATTCTATAGAAGAGGGAACTGAGACAAGGAGGTGAAGTATGTTGCCCAAGAACCTTTACTTAAAGATAGTAAGGCATAAAATGCCGGTCTCCTGGTATGTAATCCTCTCCAGGACTCTAATTTGTGATGTTGCACCCCATAACGCTTTATGGAAATATGCTTATGAATGTAAATATGACATCATTGGAATATGTTTTATGCTACATATGCCATGTAACATATCTCTGCAAGTTATGATCTACTGAATATATTCATCCTATTTGTATGCATGTTTCATTTTTGTATTCGAAGTTATGAATATTGGCTGTGTACTTGTGTACCTGGTTGGGGGGGGAACTGTTCATATCTCTCTATCAGTGTTATAGAGGGCGAACAATTTAGGAGTTTACCCTGTATAAGCTTTATACAGTGTAAAACAGATTTATTTGGGGTTTGGACCCCATTGGGAGCTGGGCATCTGAATGCTAGAGACAGGAACACTTCTTAAGCTGTTTTCAGTTAAGCCTGCAGCTTTTGGGAGACGTCGTTCAGACCTGGGTCTGGGTTTGTAGCAGGCTAGGGTGTCTGGCTCAAACCAGGCAGAGCACTGAAGTCCCAAGCTGCGAGGGAAAATAGGCTTAGAGGTAGTCTCAGCACATCGGTTGGCAGTCCCAAGGGGGTTTCTGTGATCCAACCCATCACAGTAATTAATAATAGAATATATTTTAAAGTGTGGTGCCTGTCACAGAGGCCCACTCACTCCAGGAACCACAGTGTCCTCTTTGTGACCCAGCCCTCCAGCCAGGTCACTATGAGTGTTTCCCCTTCCGGGGCAGGGTGGAAGGGTGAAACAAAGACTTTCCAGAACAAATTGTCCCAGGCAGTCCACTGTCCTCTGCCTGGCCTGTGTCATGTCCCCAGTGGCTGGTAGGGGAAACCGGGCTCACTCTCTCCTCGGGGTTCCAGCGCAGGGACCCTCTAAACAGCAGCCAAGGTCTACACTCCTGTTCCTTGCTGCTTTTCCTCTGAGCCTTCTTCTATCTTCCTGGCTTCCCCGCTCTTTGGGTTTGCCAGACTCCCAACACTCCTCCCAGGGAATAACTGTGGACTATTCTCGATAGTCCTAACACACCTCTGTTCTTCCGAAGGAGTGACTGCAGCCTACTTCCCTACAGCCTCCTTCTGTTGCCAACTACCTGGCTTTATACAGGTCCCTCCTGTTCCTATCCAGTTGAGCCTCATAGCTGATTAATCACTCCCTGCTCCCTGGCTGCTCCTCCAGGTGCTGCCTATAGGTTAATTGGGCCTAATAGACCCTCTCAGGGCCAGTGTGGGGAGTACACCTCATCCCAGTGCCTCTTTGCCATAGCATTACAGGACCATAAAAAGTTAGAAAAGTATAACTTACCTGGGGACCGTGATTTGCATTACAAGACAGAGGATCACCAAGGATAATTTTCTTAGCTCGCTCAACGCTCCTGCGGACAAACTCTTCATAAATAGGCTCTTCCACAAAAATCCTAGAGCCTGCTATGCAGCATTGACCCTGATGGTAGAACAGACCAATGTGTGCAGATTCCACAGCATTGTCCACTGCAATGAAATGAATATTTAATCAAGTCTCATTTCTTTACCGTCTCTACATATACTGGTTTTGAATGCTCAGAACATGTGGAAAATCTGCTTTGCCTCCCTTTGTCATGCCACCTCATTTGTAAAACTTTCCACTAGGTGGTCTTTTAAGGCACAGATGATCACCTGCTTACATGTATCCAACGCTACTATTCAAAAGACATCTAAATATGATACACTTAGACAAGTGCACCTTTGAGTACATGGTACAGAATTTTCATTCCACATTTTCTCATGATGCTGGGTCAACAGTGCCAAAAGGAGCATTCATTTGTGGTAGCTGAAAATGATCAACTTTCAGCTATCCATCTGCCTGAGTTAGCAGCACTCTTGCCATTGGTCCAGAATCTCATGGATTTATATCTCACAACAGAAGCTAGTTTTGTAACCAAAGCTGATACTATCACACATTACTAAGGGCTGACACACTGACAGAAGTTCTGTCCTTCCATGAATGTCAGATCAAGATCCTTTTTTCCAATTTTTAAGTGAAAATTAAGTTAAAGGTCCTGAGGCATGACTAGAAAAGAATGAAGGATCCCACACGGGTACTGGACAAATGCAAAATGTGGTACACATAGAAAAGAAATAAAACAAAAGTGATTTGGATACATTGTCTAAGACCAAGAAGCAAAAGAGGAAGGTAGCTGTAACAGGAAAAAAGATAAATAGAACTACTAACAATCTGCATCCGCAAATATGATATTAGGACTTTTCCCTCCAAGTTCCAATGTAACCCTCTTCAGATTACTCTTTCCAGCAGCTTCTGTGATCAGTTTGCCAACCTAAAATGTAGCACAAAAGAGAATTTCATCTAAACGTTTTCATAACAAAACCCATAAAACTTAAAAGTGTCGTTCCATCCCCAGCTCTCACTTTCCCCAAAAAGTGAAGGTTGGGTTAGTAACTGTCCAATAGGAGAATCATTAAAAAAACATTTTTGGGGGATCAGATGGTGGGATGGGTCCCTGAGTTTTATGTCCCCCAGGAATTCCCCCATCCTCAAACCAGAGATAAGCCCAGGTCCCACTAATGAATGCATCTGTGAAGGGTTATTCTGTGGCTCCCTCACGTGGACACAGCACCTCCCTCACCAATCATGTGCCTGTCTTGGAGCAGCACTGAGCACTAACATCACCCTCACCTCTGTAACACAGGCATTCTGAGATAGGGGGCAGGAAAAGTTGCAGTCACAGGGCACCAGGGCTCTGATCTCCCACCTTCTCCCATTCAAGCAGCCTTCCTCTACTCCAGGCAGTGGGAAAGACTTTTGAAACACCATATGTGGGAGGGAGCTGTGGAGAGGGGAGCTCTGTCTGCACAGGCCACTCTTTCCTGGTCCAACTTCTACCTCTTCAGTGGGATGAGGTAAGGAGGCCCAGAGGGGACTAGAGAATATGGGAAGGGCAGACACAGCCCATGACACCATTCTGTTTCCCCTCCACCTATTGCATTATTAAGGGGACTCCCCTGCAAACTGGACTGGAGAAGGTAGGGTGGCGATGCCAGCTTCAGTGTGAGGGATAGAGTCGGTAGAGTCCTGTTGGCTTTCGTTGCAGCTGGATAATTTGTGGGAATTGATAGTGCCTAGATCTTCCGGCTTCCAGGAACAGCTGCTCTTTCTTGCTGCTAAGTTACTCTGTGAGGGAAGGAATTGTCATTGATTCCTGGCCTGGTCTCTCATGACTGCAGGGTTTGGGGGTTTCCTCCACTTCCCCTGCACCAGCCAGCTGTAAGAAGCTCTGGAGAAGCTCCACCTGCTGCAAACTAGCAGCTAATGGGAAGCATTATGTTGCCAACCCCTTACTGATCTCCATTAGGAAGGTCCGTGGGGGTTCTTCTCAGACCTAGAGATTCCTGGGAGGAAAAGCAGCTATTGCAATCAGTGGATATGGACCCTTGTCATATGAGAGGTGTGTTAACCTTTGGATGCTACACCCTTGATAGATAAGTATATTCAGTCTCTTACTCACACTCTTGTGTGGCACACTCTTATAACATTGGTGTTCTTAAACCTCCCACAGAAAACAAATACAGTATAATTAAATAATGCCCTTACTGGGCAACTATTAGCTCAGATCCTCGCTTTTTTGTAAAGTGAGGATTGGGGAAATTATCTGCAACCCCTCTTTAAATTATTGAATGGAAACATTATCCAATGCACTTTTCTTCTCAAAGAAAATTTCCTTTGATATACGAGTTATTAATGCCATCACTCATTTATGTCATGGTAAAGGCCTAAGCAGGGGTAGGCAACCTATGGCATGCGTGCTGAAGGCGGCATGCGAGCTGATTTTCAGTGGCATTCACACTGCCCGGGTCCTGGCCGGGGGGCTCTGCATTTTAATTTAATTTTAAATGAAGCTTCTTAAACATTTTAAAAACCTTATTTACTTTACATACAACAGTAGCTTAGTTATATATTATAGACTTATAGAAAGAGACCTTCTAAAAACGTTAAAGTGTATTACTGGCAAGCAAAACTTTAAATTAGAGTGAATAAATGAAGACTCGGCACACCACTTCTGAAAGGTTGCCAACCCCTGGCCTATGGCATTAGTGATCATCTACACTAGTGGTTCTCAAAGTTTTGTACTGGTGACCACTTTCACACAGCAAGTCTCTGTGTGCAACCCCCCTTATAAATTAAAAACACTTTTTTTATATTTAACACTATTATACGTGTTGGAGGTGAAGCAGGGTTTGGGGTGGAGGCTGACAGCTCATGACCCCCTATGTAATAACCTCACAACCCTCTGAGGAGTCATGACCCCCAGTCTGATAACCCCTGATTTAAACAGAGGCCCATCCTATAAAGACTTATGCATAAATTTGACTTTACACATGTGAACAGTCCAATTGACTGTAATAGGATCACTCACGTGCACACATATGCATAAATCTTTGCAAGATTTGGGCCTAGATTTCAGGTGGTTTTCCCTACCAAAATGCCATTGTTGAAATTAAATAGTAGAAAGTTCCATTTGTTGCATTTTCAAATTTTTAAGACAACCTCACCCCCCAAAAAAGATATGAGAATAATATTTTAAAAAAGAAGCTTTAAAATAGTACTGCTAAATTAGAACCAATTGTATCTCATTGGATTCCTTTGTTTGAAGAGGCCTTCCTACAGTACAAACATCGTTTAGATATGTTTGAAGTTTTCAGTAACTAACAAATCATTACACAGACTTTGTTTAACAAAACAGCAGCCAAAAAAGAAAAAGTTAAAATAATTACATAAAGCAAGCTAGACACTAAATCATTACTGAGAATCAGAGGAGAAGAGCACTCCAGTTTATAGTTACTTGCATTCAGAATAATACCTGTGTAGAGCCTGTGAAAGCCACTTTATCTATGTCCATGTGGTGAGAAATTGCTGCTCCAGCTGTGGGTCCAAAACCTGGCACAATATTCACTACCCCTGGTGGAAATCCAGCCTAAATTGTAAAAACCAACAGAACTATGAGTTAACGATGAAGACTGGATCAGCACTTCTATTACTCTGATTAAATTGTTTCTATTCTACAGCTCCCCAATAATTTTTCCCCAACCACCCAATAAGTCATTCTCACCCCCAACTCAAATATTTTTCTAGTTGACAGTTTTGTCTTTTTTGCTTTTCTTGCAGACTAGGTATCTTGCTCCAATCCATTGCAGACATTCTTTTGGAAAAGCAGACTCATTTTCTGTCATTATTTCAATGCTTTTGTCAAATGGTGAAACAGCATTAATTCAATATGCCCCTCCCCAAGTCAGAAAATGTTTAATGACATGAAAACTGGTTAATATCTTTTTCAGCTTCATTAAGGCAATTCCATTCATTTGACTGCTGATTTAGAGTGAGATTCTGCTCTGGAAAGTGACTGTAAAAATGTCATTGAAGTGTGCCACACAGAATGGCTTGCTTCTTTCCATTGGCACAACCTGAGCTGTAGGTCTTTGGTGGTTGACTGCTAGCAAGGAACTTTCCAATACAAAGTGGGTGGATCTGGCTAGTGAGGAGGCATGTCCGGTGTACCTAGGAAATGGGCTGTTTAGCCTCCGTTTAAAAGCATTCTGTTTAATGCTGTCCTTCTCCCTGGTGTACAAATTTTGGCTTGACTCAAACCCATTGTCTCTCAGTGACTCCAGATGAAATTTGCTCAGTTTACAAACAGCATATATCCCCCCCGCAACTGCCACCCCAGCAAACTCCCACTAGGGTCTGTGAATCAAGTTGGGTTCCCTTCCTGCTCATGAATCCTCACTCCTAATTTAGACCCAGCTGAGGTGTATGGTAAGTATAGTTAAGGTGGGTCTCAATTTCATAGAATGGGTCTGCAGGGCTGGCAGTTAGCAGAAGATTGTTTTACTTTACATGAAACAAATGTGGCATGGAATCACTGAAGGTAATAAACATGGATCCCTCGTGTTATCACTTTAACAGAGTCCCTTTTTAGAGTAGAACTGGGACTTTGAAATAAGAAGCCTTTGAGGCACTTAATAGTGAAATATAACTCCCAGACAGACATGTTTAATTAAGAATAACACATAGCTGAGACTCATACACATATTGTATATATTTTTTAAAAGTTATTTCATATTCCCTAACATAATAGCACCCTGACCCTAGTTAGCTTCTAGGCCCTACTACAATATACATGTTAAATTATAATATCAAATGTAATATAATAACATATATAAGCAGGTTTTTTAATTTCTTTTTAAACTTAGTCTTTTTAAGTGCTCATTAAAGGTTCCAGATTGACGTCATTGGCAACTGAAGTCCTCTGTTTAGCCACAGAATGGGTCTGTAACAATGAAATCTTCTCCATGCTGCCTTAGCTGTGTTTTGTCCCTAACCTAAAAGGACCACCGTTAGGGGGGGAAAATGAGAGTGTAGGGTCTAAAAATCGATTCCCTCACTCATCTCCATAATGAGACTGCCAATGAGGATCACCAATTGGTTTCACATAAAGCAGCTATCAGAGTAACAACTTTTTGCCACTACTACTAAGCTCAGATTTCAATAGGTGATTTAGATGCAAAAGCAGAGCTGCGATGAATTTTGGTTCACAAATTTGGACTCAGAAACAATTTGACAACTTTGATAAGAATTTGCACATTTTAGTGCCCTATAACTTATATCGGAGCATCCATCAAAAATATTCAATCTGGATATATTCAAACTTCAGATATACCTGAGCTTTCAACAGGTGAAATTTGGATAAAGAAAACAGAAACAAAATGAAAAATGATAAAACTTGATTTTTTAAAAATTAAAAAAGTAATTCTATTCCTTTCTATATAAAAGTGCCATAGTATTATATCAGTTATACTCTGTTGAACAACAGCACTGAGATTTTGAATACAGTCGACTCCTTATTGCAGGAATGTTAATCTTATATTTAGAGAGAGATGGTACTTCATCAAGGTCAGGGTAGAACTAAGTTAATTTCTCTTTTATATTGCTTTTCAATGGAGCCATCATCTTTATTTTAGCTGTTTAAAATGAACAGATGGAATACTTTGAGCAGTAAAAGCAATTCCCCCAAATTGTATTTTCTAGTAAAGTTTTCCTATGTGACTCACTATGAGCAGCATTTGGCTTTTTTGTGAATCTCGTCCACTTCATCATATTTTTATGTTTGCCCTAAACGTACTATGGGCTGTATTTGTGATGAGTCATTGTTATGAGGCAGAACACTAAAATGTGCTGAGTCAGGGCTGGTAGTACTTGGGGAAGTTACTGACCTGGTGATTATTGACCTTGGTGGCAGTAATCACATCTAGATAAAGTTTTTAGTTTGTTTTATTGACCGTAACGAGAGGCAGTTTAACCATTTCAACACTCTTCTCTGACGTCGCTTCTATGCTTGGTGACACCCAGTAACATTACTTTGAAACCAATGGAATGTTAAGGAGTATTATACTTGAGACATTCAGAAGCACAGGAGGTGTATTATACCTGGACATATTGTACATGAAGTTTGGCAGCAGTCAAGCAGTTTAATTTTATCCTCATTAATCATAAACCCAGGTGAACAAAATATGTGTTCCGTAAAATCACCCACACAGATTTGTTACTAAGATAACCATGATGATAAACTAATCACAGTCATCTCCAAAAGCTTCTTGTTTGCTTTGAATTTTGAAAGGTATGATGCTGTTATAAAACAGTCATTTGCCAAGAAATTTAGTTTACTAGATTGTTAATGTGATGGGATTTTTTTTCAGTAGGCTAGATTGTAAAATATGTAAGCTTTTCACCCTTCATTTGCTTCAGTGGTTTGCAGTAAATTCCATAGTACAAGGCTAGATATGCTATTTTCTATTTTGGCACAGTGCAAACTAGTTCTTACTACTGTACTGGCCTTTTCGAAAAGTGTAATAGTTTGCTGTGGCAAACTTACCTCTTTAATTAAAGATCCCATGTAAATAGCAGACAGTGGAGTTTCTTCTGCTGGTTTGATGACCACTGTGTTTCCACAACAAAGGGCAGGAGCGATCTTCCAGACAAACATAAGCAAAGGGAAGTTCCACTAAAAGACAGATGAGAAGATGTATCCTATTTCTAATACAACATTGTATTGCATTTGCTTTCCCTTCAATAGAAGCACGAACTGTCACATAGGCTGTGCAAAACCCACTGATTTGGGTTTATGCGATTTCAGTGCACTCAAACTGGCAGTTAGAGATCAGACGAGGCTGAAAATATCTAATGCAACTCAAGCGAAGCATGACAAAAGTTGCTAGTTTAGTGATGAAACTGGTGAATCTTGCCATCACCTTCTCTCTCTAATATCTCACCAGAATTGGCCTATTGAAGGGGATGGGGTTGTAAGTTGCAACCTCTCACCTCCGCATGGCTTTGGTGAATGGTTGATTGGTTCTCTCATTCTCAGGAGTCTTCAAGGAGCGGCTGGTTGGCTTGCTCCCCTTGCTGTGCATCTCCGGAGAGTCAACTGATTGGTTTGTTGTCTCACAATCAACAGGAAATAGCTTCAGGATCACTAACAGCCTGTTCCTCCACCCCACAATCTGCTGTAGCTGGTATTTGAAAAGGTTTACCTTCTACTAGGGTTGGTATGTACTGCTATCATAGGGAATGAACATCATGGGGTACATAAAGGGTCTTTAAATCATCCACACAGCACTGGAGAAACATCTCCTGGTCAAGCTGCTGCAGACTATGTAACTGGGGCAAGGTGGGCCAGCTGTCTGTTCTTTTGAAAATACTTCATGCAGGCAGGAGGCAGTGGGTCTCTGTGCCTGCAGCTAGGGACAGAGGAGGGTACAATGTGCCAACTGGCCACCTCTGAAGATCTGTGAGGGGTGAAGTGGCCAGTGAATACACCAAAAGGTACTTGGAGATTTACAACTTATTATAAGAGATAATGCAGATTGTTTTGTTTACTCCTTGTCTGCCTGTATCCATCTGTTATTTCTTGTCTCATACTTAGATTGTAAGCTCTTTGAGGACAGGGACCATCTTTTTGTTCTGTGTTTGTACAGCACCTAGCCCAGTGGGTCTTTGTCCATGACTAAGACTCCTAGGCACTACAGTAGGGAAATAATTTATTTTACATTCTAGACTGTACATATTTTAAACCGTGCTATATTTTGTGAGGGGTTTACCCTTCATATGTCAAACACCTTCTGATTTTAGCACAGCTCCTCTCAGGGTCAGGTCCAGAAGCAGTCTGGCCTGAGAAGGAAGGTTCTGATGGTTAAAGATCCATACATTCATTCGTGCAGAGATAAATTTGAAAGCAACTCCTTTTAAATAAAAAACATTTTTTTTAATGTAAAGGTTCCAACTCACAGGAATAATTTGGCCACACACACCAATGGGCTCATGTCTCGTAAATGTGAAAAAGTTTCCATCTAAACAAGAGGAAAAAAAGACTACAGTCAGACAAAAGCTTTTGTGAGAAACAGCTCAAGTATAAAGAAGATAAACTTAGTTACCAAACATAGCTACATACTCTTGTACTTATAAACGATATTTTCAAATTTTAAGTATGCAACAAAAAAATACATCTGGATTCAATCTGGACCTTCCCTACATGCCTCAGTGTTTGAGTCTGCCCAGCCTGGCTGATTTTTTCCTAGTGGCAGCTCTGCTTCTGTCTGTGTGGTGGGTAGGCCTCCTGACGCGGTGTGTAAAGCACACCCACTCAGCTTTTTTAATTCCTTCTTCTCCCCTCCCCCCCCCTTTTTTTAAAGTGTTTTTAAAAAAAAAGCTACTCACAATCCTAGGTGCTTATCAGACATTTTTTAATATTAGATTTTAGCTGGTGTGAAATCCATTAAGTATAAAATCCTCTTGGTTTCAAATAAACGTGTTCCAGTAAGCCTATTATAGAGGTCTGTGTGATGCAAAAATCTCTGAAGTTTGAAGTATTTGTCACTCTAGTTTTCCCTAATTCCTCCTTCATCACAAATCTATCTTTCTTAGAGAGAAAGCTGGGCAGCCAAATTCCTTAGAGTTGATCAGTGGAAGGGACAACAGAATGGGCTTTGAGCTAAATCAGGTGAATTTCTTCCCTTCCCTTCTTCCAGTCAGATTCTTCCTCATCCACCCTCAAATAATGGAATCAAAGAATAGTAGGGCACCTCACTTTCTTCTTCTTTATTGAGCCAAAGTCCTTTCTTAACATCTGGTTTCCAATACTGTTACACTGTTATGTGTAACCTCTACCACTAATATTGTCCATTTAAAAAAACTCTTCATATTTACTTTCACATGTAGAACCTAATATTTCTCTAGTAAATAATTCATATTATTTAGTTGAATAAATACCAAAAATGTAAATAAGTAAGTTATGTTAACTGTGCCAAATGTGTAAAAAGAGGCATCTGATAAGGCTTAACCAACCCATATTAATGTTTGTCTGAAATCTTTCCCAAGGCAAGATATTTTTCCACATTACAGAATTTTTAGCAGGAGGCAGTTCAAAGGCACAGCACACTCATATCAGTTCTGACTTGAAAAGTCTCTTAAAACTACTCACCCACTGGAATGGTACGACCTTGAACTTTATCAGCCCAGCCTGCACAGTAGTGTAAAGTTCTAAGGCAGGCTCCTAAATCCATTAAGTAGGCATTGGGAAAAAGTTTTCCACCATCAATGGCTTCCAATGTCTAGAAGAAAACATATCAGCCATGTATTAATAATGGCAGTTACTTTTTATATCTATCACTTGTTATTGGCTGCCCAAATTATAGATTTGCAGCTCTGGTATATTCACTTTCTAGAAGGCAAATCACTTTCTGAAGGAAGCAGAGCCACTGAAAAATCAATTTGGAAATCTGCAAACGAGACGTTTCCCTAGGGCTTTACTCTCAGTGATTTATGCAGATAATTTGATAGTGGTGCATTTTAAATGACGCAGGTTCTGGGGAAAAAAAAACAGATTTCTGTTAGCTGAGTAAGTGAAGCTGCTCTAGTTTAGACTGAGTATGCTACTGATATGTATAAAAAGAGCTACAACCGGAAGCTCCTGGCTCAGATGATATGAATGGATCCATAAATACTGAGCCAGTGGGCCTTCTCAGTCTGCACTCTCTGCACCAGCTTATTCAGAGCTGGTTAATCCTTCTCAATGATGTCCAAGGAATGCAGAAGCTCCCAGCAATGACAACACCACTCAGGTGTCATTGCACTAGGATACTGTGGTTCTTCAGTATTGTGGGAGACCTTCTATGGACCCTCAATGAAAGAGTGAATAATCTGCAAATAATATGAGCAGGGTTCTACTGTGGAGGGCTCCCAGGGCAGAATGGCATCCAAAACCAAACCAAAGTCTCCCAGTCTCCATATGAGAGCCCTGTACACATGAGGAGCCTTTGATAGAGAGCATTTCAGTATGGAAAAATAAACACCTCCTAAACAATGGATTGTCTTTTATTGGCTAGCTACATAGTGGTAAATGAATGAATAAAATCCTCTAACTTGGTTTCCACACTCAAGCCCTCCCTCCACCCCTGGCAAATACCATCCAAAACATTAACTCTCAGAGTGACAAGTTACTGATTCCAAATCTGTAATTTTCCCCTTGATCATGGATGCCCACTTCTGTCAGTACTCCAGCCCAAGAGTTAATATTAAAGAAATCCCACATTCCACTATATTTTGACTTCATTTTACTAAAACTTTTCAGAATAGCAAAGATGTTGTTGTAGAAAAAATAAACAGTTAAAATTAGGGTTGGAAAGTAGGTTAACATAAATTAAGAATGGACCTGAACATTTGCCCATAGTTCAAAATAAATCAGAACTGAACTTTTAAAACATTGTTGATTTGTGTTTTTCACATTCATCCAGCTGTACACTTACTGCTTTTTGAGATTTCTGACCTAAATGGCCCCAGAATGTACAAGCAATCTCACAGAAACACCTATTGCTAATAAGGCAGATTCCCAGGCTGAGACACAGATCATGGAAGTTTGAGTTAAACCTCTAAAGGTTGGGATGTTTCGCTAAGCAACCAAAGGTGTACATGTTCATCCAGAACTAAGCTGAAGATTAAGCAAACTACTCAGAAACCTCTTGGAGACTGAAATATTGTTAGAACAGTTTTTCTCATGTCTCCCTATGCACAAGGATACCAGGGGTCTTAAACTGTGTGAAGGCTCTTGTGGGGATCATCAGTAGGAGAAGCACCTAGTATTTCCTGCTCCCAGTTAGGCCAGAAATCCCAAAAAATCCTCATGTACTGTATCGGAGTTTCAGCATTTATGCTTTTGGTCCTGGCCAGACGTGCAAACTCATGCAAAAAAAATTTTTTTTTAAATGAAATGAACTAAAATCAAAACAAAACAAAAAACCTTTGAATTCTCCTTAAGTTTTGATCAATGGTGTTTGCAGAGGTGTTCTGTCTATCCAAATTGGTTCAGCTTTGGGAAGGGAAAAGTCTCAAACTATTGTTGATGAGGTCTGGAAGGCACTGCATTCAATAATAATGATGCAGAAAAGGCAGACTTGTTCAATAAATATTTTTGTTCTGTATTTGGGGGCGGAGGGGGGGGGAGGGGAAGAACCAGATCATGTACGCATATCATATGATGCTGACACTCTTTCCATTCCACTAGTATCTCAGGAGGATGTTAAACAGGAGCTACTAAAGTTGCACATTTTTAAATCAGCAAGTCCAGATAACTTACATCCAAAAGTTTTAAAAGAGCTGGCTGATCTTGCTGGACTGTTAATGATGATTTTCAATAAGTTTTGGAACACTGGAAGTTCCAGAAGATTGGGAGAAAACTAATGTACCAATATTTTAAAAAGGTAAACAGGAAGACCTGGTAATTATAGACCTGTCACTTTGACATCAATCCCAGGCAATGTAATGGAGTGTCTGACAGAGGACTTGACTAATAAAAAATAATTAATGTCAATCAACATGGATTTATGGAAAATAAATCCAGTCAAACTGACTTGATTTCTTTATGAGATAATAAATTTGGTGTATGAAGGTAATAGTGTTGATGTAATAGACTTCTGTAAGGCATTTGACGTGATACCACACAACATTTTGATTAAAAAACTTGAATATAAAATTAACACGGCACACATTAAAGGGATTAAAAGGTGACTAACTGATAGGTCGCAGAATATAATTGTAAACAGGGAATCATCATCAAACGGATGTGTTTCTAGAGGAGTACTGCAGGGATTGGGTCTTGGCCCTACATTATTTCACATTTTTATCAATGTTTATGAAGAAATGTAAAATTATAATTGATGAAGTTTGCTGATGACACAAAAATTGGGGGAGTAGTAAATAATGAAGGGGACAGGTCACTGATACAGAGTGATCTGGATGGCTTGGTAAATTGGGAACAAGCAAACAGTATGTGTTTTTAATATGGATAAATATAAACGTATACAACCTGGAACAAAGAATGTAGGCTATGCCTACGGGATGGGGGAACTTTATCCAGGATAGCAGTGACTCCAAAAAAGATTTGAGGGTCATGGTTTATAATCAGCTCGACATGAGCTGACAGTGCAATGCTGTGACCAAAAGGGCTAATGCATAAACAGGGGAATTCTGAGTAGGAGTATAGAGGTTCTCTTGCTTCTATATTTGGGACTGGTACAATTTCTCTTGGAATACTGTGTCCAGCTCCGGTGTCCACCATTCAAGAAGGATATTGGTGGAAAGGGTTCAGAGAAGAGCCATAAGAATGATTAAATGATTAGAAATCATGCCTTATAGTGATAGACTCAAGGAGCTCAATTTATTTAGCTTAACAAAGAAAATGTTAAGGGATGACTAGATCACAGTGTTTAAGTACCTACATGGGAAACAAATATTTGGTAATGGGCTCCTCAATCTAGCAGGGGAAGGTATAAAATGATCCAATGGCTGGAAATTGAAGCTAGAGAAATTCAGATAGGAAATAAGATGTAAATTTTAAGTGTGGGTAATTAGCTATTAGAATAATTTACTAAAGGTCATGATGAATTCTCCAACATTGATAATTTTAAAATCAAAATTGGATTTTTTTTTAAAAAAAGATATGCTCTCGGATTTACTTTCAGGAAGTTCTATGGCTTTTGTTATACAGGTGGTCATCTCAGAGGTCTTGGAATCTATGAGTTTATGAACACTTCCTATCTAAAATGAAAGAGGGATCCAATATCACGTGGAAGGTGTGGGAAATAAAAACAAATTAAGGAAAACAGAGACGTAAAAGAGGTTTTGGTAGGGGAGGGAAGGAGTAATTAGATATTATAGGACTGGCAAGTAAAAAACAAATCTGACTGCTTCAGCTGTCTTGTGAAAGTAGCTTATTTTCCTTTTCTCTTCATAGAGCTGGACGGGACCTCAAGAGGTGATCTAGTCCAGTCCCCTGCACTCAAATCAGGACTAAGTATTATCTAGACTATCCCTGACAGGTGTTTGTCCAACCTGCTCTTAAAAATTCCCAATGATGGAGATTCCACAACCTCCCTAGGCAATTTATTCCAGTGCTTAACCAACCTGACAGGAATTTTTTCCTTATGTCCAACCTAAACCACCCTTGATGCAATTTAAGCTCATTGCTTCTTGTTCTACCCTCAGAGGTTAAGAACAACAATTTTTCTCCCTCCTCCTTGTAACAAACTTTTATGTACTTGAAAACTATTATCATGTCCCCTCTGAGTCTTCTCTTCTCCAGACTAAACAAACCCAATTTTTTCAATTTTCCCTCATAGGGCATGTTTTCTAGATCTTTAATCATTTTGTTGCTCTTCTCTGGACTTTCTCCAATTTGTCCACATCTTTCCTGAAATGTGGCACCCAGAACTGGACACAATACTCCAGTTGAGGCCTAATCAGTGTGGAGTAGAGCAGAAGAATTACTTCTCGTGTCTTGCTTACAACACTTCTGCTAATACATCCCAGAATGATGTTTGCTTTTTTTGCAACAGTGATACACTGTTGACTCTTACACCTATATAGTCTGTACTGTATGGCAAAGATACAAATATCAGTATATGTCATCATTAAAATTGGTATATAAAATCCACATCAAAAGTACGACTCCTTTAAAATAGGTAAACCACTAGTTCAAATAGTGGAAGGCTCAAAATGTAGCTCCCCCAGTGTTTCCCAAGAAGTATGACAGCTAGTTCTTCCGTTAGGTCTGACAGGACTAGGTTAGAGTGCATACTCTGCTGAAGAAAAGTATACATTCAGATCTGATTTTTGAAAAATAAACTGCCCAAGACACTAGCAGTGCCAACTCTCAAGTGTGAGCAAGTGACCACAGCCCCTATAAATCTTCATTTTTGGTTTTAAAAGCCTTTTGGAATGCAGGCAAGTGTTATTTAAGAAGACTGAATAGCCAGAAAGAAAGGGAAGGACAAATGGATATTTCTTTGCAGATATTTATGTATTTTTGTAGGCTAAGTATGCTGGTTCCGTTACATTAAATTGTTGGTGCCATCTGCAGCTGCTGGCTGTATAGTTTGAATGCTGTAATTGAATTACTCTGGGTGATGTGGTTAAATCATTGTGTTGTCTTGGATGTTAGCTACACTGGATGCTATGGCTAAATTTCTGGCATCTTTGGCAGCAAAACACTGTCCCAGCTCAAGATTTTGTGAACAATTACAATACCTGCTGGTTATTTTTTATGTAGCTAACTACTATAAGACCCTATCTCTAACACTGCTTCCAATAGCAAAGTGAACGTCTCAATGACAACAAAATTGGGCTACAGAGAAAGGTATAGGTAAATATTTTGGACCAGGTACACAGCTATTTGCAGCACTGATGTAAAGTTTTAAAGTGCATTAATGCAAGTTGTCAGCCATCTGATTGTTAAAATGTTCCAGTAAGGAGCACTACTAAATATTCAGAGTTAGGTGATCCTCTATTTGCTCACCTTCTCACTGTCAACAGCAAATATGTTGCTGCCTTTGGTCTTTGATTCAAAATTTGTCAGATACAAGGGAGGAGGGAGGAAGAGGAGGCAGTGGCAGTGATGAAAACGGTGCATTCATGAAATCCCAAATTCCTTCCATCTTTAAATAGTATCCACTGTAATTCTCAAAGAACGGAGCTTCACTTTTAGGCCCTGATTTAGCAATTTTGAGCATGTACTTAAATACCATTGAAGTTACATTGATGTTAGTGGGAACTGAGTATGACTTAAAGCTGAGCATGTGCTTAAGTGCTTTGCTGAATGAGGGTACAAAAGTGCTGGTCATTTAAACATGCCAATTAGCAATACAAAACAAGCCAGTCAGAGATTTGGCTGAAAACAAGCAATGACATGGCCTGGTTTTCAGAAGGACTGAGCACCAACTTCTCCTACCAATGCTGAGTTCTTTGAAAATCAGGGCAACAATATAAGACCACCCTTTCCCTTCTCTCTGTAAATGCTTTATACTTACAGCTAAGACTAGACGATCTCTTTCAATTAAGTCAGCTAGTTTATTTAAGAGCCTTCCCCGTTCTGAAGCATCCATTGTACGCCATGGCGACCCAAGCTGAAAAGCTTTTCTCGCTGCTTTAACAGCTTTGTCTATGTCGTCCTGTGTGTGAACAATATGGAGATTTATTTGATTGATATTTGATTCTGTTATATAATCCTGTTTTTTGCTATTTGTACAGCACCTTAAGTGTGCTAGGCAGAATAAATACAAGAAATCAACCTTGCTGCAAGCAGCTTACAGTCTAATTAGAAGAGAACAATCATTTTACATCTCTTTTTTTCAAACATGCTCACTATCACTTGACAAGTTTCCCAGTTATATGAAGTGATATAGGAAATAGCTGAAGTCTCAAAGCCCATACATAAAAGTATATTAAGGAACTCCACTTTTAAGTCTAGATTTTCAAAAACTTACCTCCCATTTTAGCACCCACAGTTATTTGCAGTTATATGTCAATGTCCAGGTAATTGCCACAAATCAGGCATCTAAACATCTAATGTAGCCTAACTTCTGGACATAACCCTCCCCCTCTCCCCCCAAAGGCTTGGTTAAGGCCAGTTTCAAAATATGTCTCTTAAAATATTTCATATGATAACCACAGATGTATTTTTTGGAAAACAAATCATCTTTGTTTTTTTAATTGTAAGTGCAGGACCTAAGCATTCTAAATCATGGAAGCGTCTGATTAATTGACCAGGTTTTAATTGCCAACCCTAAGCACTCCACAATGCTGGCACTGTCTCTACATTAAACATGTTAACTTGTCAGCCTATGGCAGTTTTTATAATACTGTTTATTATTAATCTTTTGGCTTTCACAACAATGGACCAATGTATATTTCACTGTGTGGAATTGTATTTACATGGAGGGTATTCTAGGATGCAAAAGGAGCAATTAAAGGCCTACTTAGAAATGATTTTCAGTATTTGAGAGTTTGTCGTACTTCACACATCCTGCTGCTCCTAATCCAAGTAAAATACAAATGGAGGTTCAATTCGGCCATTTGGGTTTTTTTTAAAGCGTTTTCTAGAAAAAGTAGGAATTTATCTGTAGCACAACTTTCTGTGCAATTTGCATGTACAATTTAAGCAGCAACTTCTGAAAATTTGTCCCATGCTGTAATTTGCCTGATTCTCCTCTCACACTGGTGTAAATCAGGAGTAACTCCACTGAATTCAACACTAGGGTAAAATTGTTGCGAAAGGAGAATCGGGTCCAATATTTTAAATTAATATTGATAACTGAAATTGAATTATCTTTGGATGACTTAATGAGGGACAAATCATGTCATGGAGAGCTCAGAAAGCAAAAGAACCAGTGCCGACTTGCTATGCCGGCAGGATCTTCCAACAGTGGGTACTTACAATCACAGCACAGACAGCTCCACAGTGGCTCTCCGTGTCCAAGTCAGCATGGGGTTTGGGGGCAGGATAAAGGAAAGGAGTGTGTGGAGCAGGTGGATTCATGACCATGTAGCTCTGCTGACCAATCCTACCTACATGGGAAGGCACAGTAGCTGTGGGGAATATTGAGGCTACAATAAAGCTAAGATGTAGTTCCGCTAATATTTTGTAGCCTGATGGAGATGGAGAGGATTCCTTCCCCCAGGTACCAGTGGAGCTACCACATGCATAGCCCATGTATTTGGACATTGTGAAGGGATAAGGATTTGATCCCAAATTGAACATTGATACTTATCTGTCACAGATGAGAAAACTACACCTCTACCCCGATAGAACGCTGTCCTCCGGAGCCAAAAAATCTTCACCGTGTTATAGGCGAAGCCGCGTTATATCGAACTTGCTTTGATCCACCGGAGTGCACAGCCCCGCCCCCCTGGAGCGCTGCTTTACCGCATTATAGCCAAATTCATGTTATATCGGGGTAGGGGTGTATATACACTGTATGATGGAATGTAATCCATGTACTGATTTAGATGTAATGTTTTCCTACAAGTGTAAAAAAAAATCAATGGTACACAATGTCTCTACGGTCTTATGCCATACACCTTCACTCAGCATGGATACCAGGGGAAATGCACAGCAGAATGAGGGAACATCTACCCTACAAGCCCATGGAGTAGCCTTGCAGAGGCTCTGTTGAGCCACAGCTCAATGGCTGAAGTAGCCCTCATGTACCCTTAACGTGGCCCTGCTTTGAGAGAGAGGATTGAATGGTCTGCACAGTGGCAGATCCTCTTCCTAACTCCCACAAATTCATGACCCATCTTATCCACACATAAGCCAATAGTGAGTCGTGGGTGCTCAGCACCTCTGACAATTAGGTCACTTATTTAAGTGCCTAGTTTAAGGCACCCAAGGGGAAAATATTGGCTTAGACCATTTAAAATTGTCTCAAATGTGTCTCAAATTCTCATTTTAATTATTTGTGGTTCCAATATCATATAATGAGTGGAATGTGCAGATCTGACTGTAAAAACAAATGCAAATATGTTCAAGACATTTTCCATCATTCTTGTTGAAATTTCAAAATTCTCCCATGCACTCTATCAGATATTAATGACCCAGAACAACTGCATAAAATAATAATTAATACCGATTAATTTTATGATGCCTAAGGATAATAGATGCTTATAGTCTATATATGATCAAATGCTTATTTTTGCAAGGATCTTTTCAACTGTACAGTCAAAAATAGCTAGTTAGAATCCATAAAACCAGAAAGCTAAACTTAAATTCAACTAATTAAGTCCTGTGAGCAAAAAATTCAACTAATTAAGTCCTGTGAGCAAAAAATATAAAAGCCTGCTCTGTCAGTTGTATGAGACTAAATTTAATATAGAAATCTACACCAAGAGACAGACACAGATAATTATGCACAGGGCCAGACTTACTAATTTTTTTTTACACTTGTTATAAATGTGCATTTACTTTACATCTCACTGACCATTTGTTAAATAAATGTAGTCATGCTTTATTATTACTAGGGGCCTTCAGGATTAGTGAGCATAGCCTGAAAGAGCCATCTAACTGAAAGGAAAACAGTTCCCATCCACATATGTGTCTGTGCTTTGTAATCTTCACTTAAAAAAAAAAAAACCACTGAAAGGTAGTGTACAGCTCTTTGTTAACTCTATTGTACACACAAATTAAATTCCTAAAATCTCTTGGCTCATTATCTAAAGACTAGACTCTAGAATATTAGGTTTACAATGACTGTGTAATTTACTAGATTTGTACATTTCACTAGACAATTTAGTTAATAGCAGTTGTCATTACACATTAGTTTACAAAATTACTGGACATGAAGCAAACCTGTATGCTGAACAGCATTATCTCTTTATTTAAGGAGTTGTTAGATTGCTTGTAAAGAATGAAAGCTACAAGAGTTTCAAATGTTAAGTGAACAGTTTCAGGTCATGAGTAATTTAATTTGAGGATGATTAAATATCAGGTCAACCTGATTTGCAATGTAACTTGATTTTTAAAGATTAAAAAGAGAAGAAGTAGAAGGGTAGCATTTTACATGAAAGGTACCTACAATGCCAGTGACATACAATCAGACAATCAAGAGTGGTTATGAAGTTCTTTGCATAAGGACAAAAGGAATGAAAAATGAAGACGAAGCCACTCTGAGCATCAGCTACAGACCACCTGGACTGGAGAAGGACAAAAATGAAAAATTCCAAGACCAGATTTCATAGGGCCAGATTTACTAGAGTTTTTTTTTAAAACAGAGGTGAGGGAGGAAAAATCTTGGATGCCCCCAACCACTTAGTGCCACTTGTTCAATAAATGCAGCCATGCTTCCTACATCATGAGTCTTCCTGAGGTATTTGAAACCATGGGAAACCATTCTCATGAGGGACTTTATCTAGCCATCTGTTTTATAAGAAATAGATCCAAACTTGCATAACAAAGATGTTCCAAACATTGCCAGGTATCTTATAATCAGCTCTTGTGCTTGGACACCTACCAGACAAATCACACTTGGACCTGAATCCTATCATCAAATCCATGGTGTAGGTATCTGGTAAAGTGCTGAAACCTGGAACTTAGAATCCACAGAATTATGCTATAGACAAAATATTTTATGCTGAATCTGGATCTGTACAATATTAGGGCCAAATGATTACTGGAAGGGGATGGGAAGCTGAGCAACAGAGACACTGAACTGTGCTCCTATGTATTCAAAGGCTGAACACGTAATAAAGTAAACAAATTATTTGGTCTAGTTAAAACCAATAAAACTGGGAGAAATCAGAAAAACTTAAGAAAGGGGGCATTTCGGCTAAATATGAAGAGTTTTTTGTGGCAGTGAAACTATGGGTATGACAATCTGCAATGTAAGTCCAGGCCCAGATTCAGGCTTGAGCCCAAACCCTCTTTTGTCTACACACAAATCTCTCTGGCTCAGACCTAGGTCCTAGGACCCTGCAGGGGTGGAGGGTTTGAGCCCAAGTCAAGCCAAGACCCAGGATTTAAGCTCTATTGCTTTACTGTGTAGATGCAGCCTCCTCTGACTTGGTCCTGGGAGTCTGCCAAAAGTATCCCACAGTTCCATGGGACAACTTCCTTTGTCCTCTCTGTCCTTAGCATCTCCAATCCACTCAAGGAAACAGACACAATCCCCATTGGTGTAATGCAGCGGCTTGGTAAGTCAGTGTTTAACCCTTCCCTTGTCTTTCCAATGCCAAGCTACAAACACACCATGAGAGAGCCTTCTGGGTTTCCAATGAAGGCTGAACAGAAGAAGACTTTTGCAAATCATGCTGCTTCATGGTCATGGGAGCACAGCCAGATTTGGGTAAAACTCTGGTACAAAGCCAGCAAAACCGTGGACTTTAGTCAGAGTACTTGGAATGACCATGCATACCAGCAAATAGCAAAGAAACTGGCAGCATTCCAAATTTACTAGCTCAGTGACCAGTGCAGGGAGCGGATTAATCATCTCAAACCAGAAGTGCACCTTGGGCAACTCACTGGCATCATGCCCATTTTATGACTGGAAACAGTGAACTGTGGGGAGGGGAAGTGGAAATGTTTTCCATTTACTAATCTAATCCATGTCAGTTAGAAGTAGTCCATGCCATTCATAGGTGACAAAACTCTTTGTGTCAGATTTGACTGGAGTTTGAAATTTTGTCCAGAAATGTGGCGGGGGGGGATGGAGGATGGCTGTGGAGTTCTATGTGTTTGTGTGCAGCCATAACAGGCTAAACCATGTGGAAGATAAGAAATCATCCTATTGATTCATGAATTCTGACCCTGTTCCAGGTGCTGATACACCTCTATCCCGATATAACGCGACCCGATATAACACGAATTTGGATATAACGCAGTAAAGCAGCGTTCCGGCGGATCAAAGCAAGTTCTATATAACGTGGTTTCACCTATAACGTGGTAAGAATGTTTTCTGCATTTTGTTATTAATTTCATCACAGACACATTTATATTCACAAAAATCATTATTTGTGTGCAAACTTCTTGAAGCAAAAATGGGCCAATTTTGAGGCCAAAAATTATGTCACAAATGAGAAAACTTTATAGAAACAGAAAAAATGTGTGCCTGTGTATACGTGCATGCTTGGGAACGAATATACACAAAGGCAAATATTTGCATGAATGAAAACATTAACAGATAAAACCAGTAATTTTTTCCACAGGTCTAGTTAAAAGTTTTTCTACAGTTGTCAGCTGGAAATAGAACACTCGCATCTCAGGCTTCCTTTTAGAGAGTTCATCCAAAAAATGTCTCTGGTCATCAGCTCTAAAACTATGGAAACAAAAGAGCCTACTATATTTAAACATATCACCCTGTACTTGATAATGTGCACTGAAAGTAGATAGTATTATTAAGCAAAGTCTTTTCAAACAGAAAATTATACAAAATTATGAAAACACAGGAAATTTGCTCTTGAGTTCTTAGGGTTCCAGATTTTTGAAGTTACTGTATATAAGTGATTCCCTCCCCCCCCCCAGTGGTCTTATACATGGCAAAATAAGTACATTTATCTTCAGCTATTACCACCTTTTGCAGTCCTCCCATCAAATCTTAACAATTAAGCATGTATGAGCCAGCTCTGTTTCGCAGGAACTGGTGCTGGTGATTCAGCAGGCCGCATTCATCACTGCAAATCTGAATAGGTAGTATCCCAGTTATTTTCATCATATCAGGTATATCATTATATCTTCACTGAAGGAACAATCAGAACAAGGAGTTGGGCAGTATGGGAGGAAAGAAGTCAGACATAAATAGCCAGAATAATAGTAAGATGAATCAAGAAAGCAATTAGCTAAACACAGGGTTTGGGGCTTTCTTTCTAAAATACTCTCTTTTTTTTCAAGTTTACTTAAGCGACTAAATCCTTCTCCGGTGTACAGTAGTTTGTGAACCTGGAGTAGTGCGTGATACAAAGATCTTGATCCTGGTCTCAGGGTAATCAATAGCAAAGCTGTCGTGGAGCCAAATGCTCTGCTGGTGGAAGCTGGTATAACTTCACTGAAGTCGTGGAACTGTGCCAATTGGCACCAGCAGAGCATATGTCTCATTGCCTTGCTGGATTGGATACAAAGAAAGCCGTGACATGACGAAGCTTTAAAAACCTACCTTGTCTCCTTCTTCTACCTCACAAATTTTATCTCCAGTTGCGGGGTTATAGACTGCAAATTTTTTGCCATTAGTTGCATCATGCCATTCATTATTTATAAATATCTGCAAGGAAATAAGGAAACAAAGAGTGGAACATCATCAATAACACAGTTTATTACCTGTTTCAATGAAAAATCAACATGGTATCATCCGATAGCTGAGAGCTATCCAATGATCCTTTTTTGTTTTAGGTCCCTATGCATTAATGGGTAATAGGCCCCTTCGATTTCTGCAGAGTAAATATGGATACATAAATGTGGAATTTTAAAGATTTTGAAAATTTTAGTAACATTCATCTATCTGCTTTGAGTCACCATTGACTTAAAAATGCAGCCATTCTCTCATGGTTTTCATCTCATATAATAAAATAATTGCTTCTTTAAGATTATTGGCACTCAGGGAACTAGCACAAGTGGATAGAAGGCAGTATATGACTTATAGAGTCTTCTATCCACTTACACAACTACTGCAGCTCCTCTAGTATTAATATATGCCTTCAACATGGGTAGGGATGACAGATGGAACTATGTAGCAGTATATTCTCCTGTCCTGCTCCTCTGGCGTACAGGGATCTCCTTGGGGAACTGAACTCTGTGCCGCACAGGGAATGTAAACTCCCTGTATAGCCCTCTTGAAATCCTGTCTCCCCTTTGCCCAGAAGAACCACACAGGTTTTGCTGCCAGGGGAGCCTTTTTGCCTCAGAGGCAGACAATTTGTCACCTAACAGAAGATGACAAACAACTAGGTCAGAGTAGTCGTAGATGTTTTGGAGAGATCAATTTTATTTAACCATTTATCTAACTTTTCTTTCATTTCCTTTCAAACAACATGTGCCTCTGAAATGAAAGACAACACTAAAGAGCTGCAGCCAGTTTAATGAAATCTACAACAAAGAAGGAACCATTGAGGCATAGTGCAAGAGCCAGAAAATGTGGTTTGTATACTCCTCTACTTCCATATCACAGGAGAAAAATAAAAAGGAACCCTAATCTCTGTGATTTTATTTCCAAATCCCTCTGGCCTGCGGATTGGTGCTTCATTAAATATGATCCTAATAAAAGCCTATTTAAAAGCAGAAATGTAATGCTATTAATCTTTTACAGGAACTAAGGGATCTATTTCATTTCATGGAGGAGTATCCACAGATCAAGAGGCATTTACTACAATGACACTGCTTATTTAGCAAAATCATGGATTGTCTTTGTAATTATTAGATGGAGCTTAAAGACACATTGCACATATATTTCAAAATGCATGCAACGATGCTGGAAACTTATTAAAACTGTTACAAAACTATAAATTGTTGTGTTATTTAAGTGAAAACATTGTGAGATGTGATATATTTTAAAGCCTAGGAAGTTTCACATAAACACAAAGTGAAGCTCTCAAAAGTCTAGCAACACAAAAGTGAAGGCTGTATATCTGCATTACAATAGTATGGGCCTATTTTTCTGCTGGTGCTGAGCTGCACCAAATTTACACCAAGAAACTTGGCGCATGGTCTTTAATTACATAACCACATACACCTCTACCCCGATATAACGCTGTCCTTGGGAGCCAAAAAACTTACCGTGTTATAGGTGAAACGGTGTTATATCGAACTTGCTTTGCTCCGCTGGAGTGCGCAGCCCCGCCCCCGCAGCACTGCTTTACCGCGTTATATCCAAATTTGTGTTATATCGGGTCGCGTTATATCAGGGTAGAGGTGTAGTATTTTTAGACAAGATGGCTACCAACTTTAGTTCCCAAGAGAGCTCCACTTTGCAACCTTCATGTTCTTTTAATTTGGAGGAGGGTGAGGGGGAGGCGGTGTATGGATTTTAAAATGTATCTGCTATAGTGTTATATATTTTGTGAAAAGGGGATTTCCAATCATAGGAAATGAGAAAAAAATAAAGGTTTTCTGATATACAGTAGTTTTTTTGTGATTACGTCACCACCCACTTCGAGTGTCTTCACTGGATCCCCGTCATCCACCACATCAGATTAGCATTTCTTGCCCTCACATTCAAGGCCTTACACAACTTTTCTCCACCCTATATCTCTGATTAAATCTTTTATCATGTCTGTTTCACCGTTTTCCCTCTACAAATGACACCAGACTTGATGCTCCATGCATCTCCTTCTCTCATACATTTCTCTGTGCCTTATTCCATGCTTTTGCCTTTGCCTTTGCCTGGAATATCTTCCTCATCCCAGGTAACCAAACCAGCAACTGGTTCTCATTCCAATGATTTCTAATGACTAACTTCTTGCACGGTCTGCACTAGAAGTGGGCTAGTAACATTTAAAAACAAACAAACCAAACCAGTAAGCTATTCTCCCTTCTAAGTATCCTGCCTTATTGATTTCTGTCTTTTCGATTTTAAGCTCTTATATAATATAGTACTGAGCATATTTTTGGCAATTCACAAACATAATGAAAAACAAAAGATGTACTGTGGCCAGTATAAACCAAAGATAATCAAACTGGTTTATGCAGCAGCCTTAAAACTGCTGAGATCACCAACCAAAGATTATTTCATATTTGCCAGGAACTGCATTACATATGCAGCTTTAACCTTTATGCAGGCAGAAAGACCAGCGTGTGCCAATTTCCCTTTTTATAGCTGGAACAACCACCCTCTTGCACAGATAAGAACATTGAGATATCCTGGCACACAAGCACACTTTAATAAAACTAGATGGAATGGATATAGTTATCCATTATCAGTATCATTAAAAGCACAAATCAGGTCACTCACACAAGAAATGATTTGATTATCTTATTAGCAGATTCACTCTTACTCTGGAATAATCCCCCCCAAGAAGAATTCCTTAGACTGTCTGGCTGACAACAGAATCAAATGTGAGCACTTTCTTCAAAGACGGCAGAGAAGTTTCAGGATCGGCTTTTTACTCTGAATTTTGTAGTCTGTTCCATATGGCACTTTCCTTCCCCTTGGTATTAAGCCACACTGATCATCCTGACTGCATATGTTCTAAAACTACACAAAATGAGGATTTCATACATGGGTAATTCTGTCTCTCTCCTTGGTGTTTAGTTACTTGTAAATCCTGCTTGAAGGTTAGTACAAGTGCCTGCTCCGTCGGTATAAACAACGTTTCCCTATAAAATGCTGTGAAAGAAACCACAGCAGTTGCTATCAAAAAAGTCAACATTAACCTACAATTACCACCAAGTGGTATTGGAGGTACTGCAGTTATTTTCTTTTGTAACTACAAGGAAAAATTAACATCTCACATATTACCATGGTAAATTAGGGTAAGCGGTTTTTTTTATGGTGAACATAAACTAGTAAACTGATTATAATAGTTCTGCATCAAATACTGTGATCTCTTTTGTGCCTTTAAGACATAGCCTCTTTTTGAGAGTGGTGCAGAACTGGACTGGCCCAGCAGTTGCTGAGAAAGTGAAACAGGAAAAATGCCTCCCCATATATGTCAGATCTGTAGGGTTCTAACTACTGAGTGCCTGTAAAACCTTAACATTGATATTGAATTATAAAAGAGCCCAGTGGGAAGTAAGTCACTCAACAATCAGGTGATAGCTCAGTGGTTTGAGCATTGGCCTGTAAAACCCCGGGTTGTGAGTTCAATCCTTCAGGGGGCCATTTAGGGACATAGGGCAAAAATCTGTTGGATGATTTAATTGGGGATTGGTCCTGCTTTGAGCAGGGGGTTGGACTAGATCATCTCCTGAGGTCCCTTATAGTCCATGATTTCTAAAGTACTGTTTTTGATATAAATGTTAACTAGCACAAGGTTTTGTTTATTAACTGGGCAATATCCACACTCCATTAAAGATTTCTTCACCAGCTCTGAAGAGCTAATTTTTCTTTCACAAAAAAGTCAACACTTTTTGGTGAAATACCTCACAAGCAGCATATAGTTTGGTTTAGAAAAGGAAGGAGGAAAAACATCAGGAAGAAATATCCTGGTGGGTAAAAAGATTAGTGCTCACACTGGTGCTTGCTGTTACCTTAGCTATTCTTTATTGTGGGCATTATTATATAGGAAGACCAATAGTAAAAATAAGTACCATCCCCTATCAAGTCTTCTCCATTATCTGTGGATCCAGACCCCTCACTCTCTGCATTATATTTTGCAACAAGTGGAGGTTTTTTAGTGGGCATATCTCTATGAGCATAGCTAAAACCATCGACTTCTGGCACAAAGATCCTCTGCCAGTCCCTCATATTACCACCACAGAAACAAATCAGAGGGTGCAGAAGGACAAAGCTGCAGCAGAATGAGCACGAGAAAAAATTATTCCCATTTCCAATATCACCCTGTTCTGTAGCTCAGCCTAGTAGGAATTTGTTTTAACTTGCTTGATTTCCCAGTATGCTACAGTATGCCAGATTCATATCTGTCTGTGAAAGGAGTAATAGTGAAACATACCCTTTTTGGAAGTTGTTCAAATATTGGTTTAAGTACTGCATTTAGAGTACTGACACAATGGTATTATTTTAGTGTCCCTTACTTATTATTGTTCCTAATGTCACTTCCTCCTAATCCCAACCTTTCACTATGTACAAACCTGTACAATGTACAAGAGCAGTGAAAATTGCAGTATCCAGACATCTCCATTAGGATACATTATGACTTTGCTTATACAGGTATGAACTAAAGAAAATGGTACAAAAAGCCAAAATCCAACCTACACACAATGTTACATATGTTGTAACACTGGGTATATTCCGGAGTATGTTGGCAGCTATGCTCCTTTGGAGTGTACACCGCATGGACACATGGGTTGGGGTGTACTGAAAACAGAAATAGCTAGTGCACAAGCCAACGTGAACAGACACTGCCACAAAGATCAACCTCTGGCTTGCTTGCATTGCAGTACACTCGTTGCCCATGCTTATGAAAGCAGTAGCAGTTATCTTCCATCATGGTGTGGCAGTTTGCTATCAGATATCCAGGTCTTCCATAGTAGGGTGTTTCTTTTGCCAGATGTTCATCCACTGTTGCACATGCTGCATGGGTGTTCACCTGTAAGGACTGGCCATGACTCATTGGGTTTAAGAGTTTTTGACAAGTCAAATCTTTGCTG